CTCATGTGTGTGTGTGTGTGTGTGTGTGTGTGTGTGTGTGTGTGTGTGTGTGTTTAGTCCTAGGTGATTTTTTAACAGCTGTGGATTTGTGAACCCACCACTACGGTGGAGACAGACTGGTTAATTCCAGGGAGCCCAAGTGCTACCCTTTTAGCCCCAGACACTTCATTCCTTCCTCCTCTGCCTGACACTAGGTGAGCAGGAACCTCTTCCTCCTCACTTCCGCCATTTGACCAGTGTTACCCGAGTGGAACCCTATGAGTATTAGTCCGCTGAGGCCACTTCAACAAAAACGTCTTACACAAGGTGGCTCACAAAGAGAAGAAACTTATTCTTCATAGTCTGGAGATGGAAGCGTGCAACAGTCAGGGGCCAGCACGTTCAGCCTACTGAAGGCCCTCTTTCTGGTTCATGGAAGTTTCTGTCTTTTTGCTGTGTCCTCACGTGGCACACAGGGTGTGGAATCTCTGGACTCTCTGATAAAGTTACTAATCACATTCCTGAGACCCCCAAAGGTCCCCACATCACATCAGGGCTTAGGTTTCAAGACATGAATTTATGTGGCCTTTTGAAACTGGCTTGTTTCTTCCTTCAGCATAATTCCTCTGAGATTCACCGGGATTGTTTTTGTATCCAGCACTCCAAACTTTTTTGTTTTCATTAGTACATATTTATAATCATAAAGTTAACATTCCTTGTGAGGATTTGGTGCAGGTACATAATAATGTCTTAGTTCCTTTTCCAACCCTTTTAAATACTTTTGAGTAGCACTTCATGATATGAATATACCACTGTATCAGTTTTTATCTTTCAAATGTCCAACAAGGTAATATATAACTAGGCCTGTTTTATTAAAATAGCAACTGAGACTCAGAAAGGTGACTATCCTAAAGCCACATGGCCCTTGTGGCAGACCCAGTGTTCCAGTCCAGACTGGTGTTCTCCAGCCCCAGAAAGTAGTTGTACCTTGAAGCCTAAAGAAGAGTCACCTCTGTTCTTCTCCCAGAAATTGATGCACCCAAGGACCTTCAGGTTTCTGAAACCACAGACAACAGCCTGACCCTGCAGTGGAAGATGCCAGCGGCCAAGTTTGACCGATATCGCCTCAACTACAGCCTCCCCACAGGCCAGTCAGTGGAGGACCAGCTTCCCAGAGATGCCACCTCCTATGTGCTACGAGGCCTGGAGCCCAGCCAGGAGTATACTATCCTCCTCACAGCTGAGAAAGGCAGGCACAGAAGCAGGCCTGCCCGCGTGAAGGCCGCCACCGGTGAGTCACCCTGGCCCTCTAAGTCTGGGGCTCGCCCTGTGGGCCAAAGTCCCCTTCCAGATTTTCCTCATCTGACAAGCCCAGGTGGGAAAATGTGCCACTTTCTCTACCCACCAAGCCTCCACATGCACTTCACAGAGGCCGCTCTTTGTCTTTTCCAACATTAATTTCTCCTCTTGTCACCTGAGCCACCAAAGTCCCCTAGCTGGGCAATAGGGATTTTGAAATATTTCTTTGCATAAGAATGTGCAGCTTCTAGGTTTGTGTTTGTCATGTTTGTTGCTTTTGTTTTCTTTCAAATTTTGTTTCACAGAATATTTTAAAGTCCTTATTTTCCTTGGTAAACCAAACAATTAATTTACTTTTTTGTTATTTGAAAATGACCTCAACGTTGGTGATTAACTATTTGGTTATTTTCTATGAAATCTTTTTATTCCAGGTTTTTTTGCCTTCCTCTCAGGCTGCTCCTGAAGAACAAGACAAGGTCCTCTGCCTTTCTCTGTGTCACTACTTTTTCTCTTTTGTCGTAGCCCTTAAGAGCTGAACCCTGTCTAGCCAAGATGACACCTTCACCCTGACTTCCATAGTTTCCTTCCCACTCATCCTGCTCACTGAGCCCCAGACACATTTCATCAGTGGCTAAGATGAGGAGACAGTCAGAAATATGAATGGTTTTTTTCTGTATGAAAAATAACTCATTCGGTGTTGAACACTAAATACTGAAGACGTAAGCAGAAAATGTTATTTCTTCAGGATTTGGCAAGTGATTTTCTTAACTTAATTTCATTAGTAGGCATCCAGCTGCACACATTGTAGTGTTCTGATATTTCAAGAGAAATAGATCCTACAGACAACCTTGCTATGTTGACCATGTGCTTCGGCTCACAGTCCTTGGGGAAGACCAGATAATCAGAATGTTAGGCAGAGCTCAATCAAGGGAAAGAAGTTGTATTTTTTTTCCATTGCTGGGATCAAATACCTTAAACCTACACCTTAAAGAGAAAAAAAAAATGTTTTTGTTTTTTTTTTTTGGTTCATTGTTCCAGGGCATTCAGTCTCTGGTTGCCTGCCTCCAAGGCAGGAACATCGTGGTGAAAAGATATGATGTAACAAAGTGCTCATTTCGTGGCGCAGAGAAGTAGAGTGGGAGAGTGGCACCAGAGAGACAGAGGAAGAGCCCAGAAAAAGAGCCAAGACCACTCCTCCAGGATTTACCCAGATACATGAAGAAGTGTGTTTAACTAATCCCGCAGGCTGCTCCCGTGCCAGCTGAGTTGACAATTAAGCTTAACCATCGCAGGGGTGAATGGGGGAATCAAGAGGAGCGGCTGTCATGATAGAAAGGAAAATGTCATGATAAAGATGTTCCCCTATTGAGTCTTGATAATCAGTGGAGAGATTACAATGGAAATATTTGGAAATGCCTTGAATTGTCTTTGTCAATTCAAATATCTTCAGCCAAAAAGAACAGTCACTTGAATAAGATCATAGTCTATTTCTTCTCATTAAAAGAATTTGGAGCTGGGGAGTTCAAGGATAGCAGCATAGTTTCAGGCTGTCAGTGATCTTCTCTCTGTTCCACCATTCTCAGTCATTGGCTCACATTCTCACCAGTCACCTCAGTGTCGCAATAGAGCTATCACTGGTTCCGCTACCTGCTTTGTAAGCACGAGGTCCTGGGTTCGACACCTGGTACAAAAAAAAAAAAAATAGAGCTATCACAGTAGTCATCACATCCATTTTCCAGGCAGCATGATGGAAGGAGAGTCTTTCTGGAAACCTCACCAACTGCTTTTCCCCAATTCTCATTTGCCAATCTTAGCTGTCAGTGAGACTGAGAGCTAGACATCTGCATGAACGTGTTGTTGTACCCATAAAATGATGCTTGTCTGGAAGGAAAAGAAGACATTTGGTAGACAGAGAGCAGCTTTTCCCAGGGAGTATAAAGTGAGCCCAGATGGTCAGTTCTGTTAACTGTGTGCACAGACTGCTGAGATGATTGTCAGCAGTGCTCAGAAGGGATAGCTTAGGGCCAGGGATTTAGCTCAGTGGTTCCACTGCCTGCCTCACAAGTGAAAGGTCCCAAGTTCAATCTCCAGTTAAAAAAAAAAAAAAAAAAAAAAAAAAAAAAAAAAAAAAAAAAAAAAAAAAAAAAAACAGAAGGGATAGGGATAGTTTAATCTTCTCCTCTGCCCCCACCCTCTCTCTTTTCCCTTTTCCTTTCCTCTTCTCTCTCTTCATTCTCTCAGCTTTCCTCCAAGTTTGACAAATAGGTACCAAGAGATTCCTGTTCTCACTGTGTTATGGCACCTTAGCTCCTCTCTCCAATGGTGCAGTCCCAGACCTGAGCAGCTCAAGGAGATAAAACTTTTGCAGTGAACCACAGATGGGAGCTCCTCTGTCTCTGACCAACCCAGGATTGCCTCCCAAAGCCTCATCATGCCTCCTTAAAGCTCTTTCAAAGAAAGAACATTTATATTCAAAGGCATTCCTCATTGCAGGAAAAAATGCCCATGTTCCTTTTTATTGGCTCCTCTCCATTGTCCAAAGAACATTTCCCCCATGACTTTCTCTACAGAACAATTTTGGTTTATTAAAACTGGATCAGAGGAGGTTGAGGGTATAGCTCAGAGGTAGAACATTTACTTGCCTAGCATGCATAGGGTCCTGGGTTCAATCACCAGCATTGCAAAAAGAAAATATGAAGCAGATGTTTCTTTTGCTGTTGTGAATTCTACCTTTCAAAGTCTTCTGCATTCACGAAACCATAAAACACTATAACCATGCTCTGTGCTAAGTCCTGGGGCTACTACAGCAAAGACAGCCTTATGCTTCCCCGGACCTCAGGGCCTGGTGAAGCGATGGATGCCAACACAGCACTCTGTTTGTGATGCCTGGGCTGGTAAGAGAGCCCCAGGGTGGAGGAGACATGGAATCTACAGGCAAATCCAAGAGAAGATCAGCAGAAACTTACAGACAGAAACATAAGAAACAAACAGGATGGTGGCATGGCATATGGAAAGAAACAAAAGCTCAGAATCTGGCCTAGGTAAACAGAGAGGAAGAAAAAAACAGGAAAAGTGAGTCTTTGGGTAAAGGAACCACATGGCTATGGATCATGAAATACCCAAAGGAACCCCAGCCATGAATTACAAAGCAGAGTATGCCAAGCAGAGCACTAGAATCACAAAGCAGGTGCCTGCAAGCCATCATTCATTGTTGGTTTTATGGAGAACATAGAGAATCAGTGGCCTGCATGCATTTTCTCTGGGGATTTCTGAGGCTCTCATCTTAGTTTGGGTCATAGTGCAAGCTGTTTCCATGCTGTGGCATTGTATTTAGAGTACGGAGAGCCTAGCGATCCATCATGCCTGACATAGCTCATAGACCCTCACTTCTTTCTGACCTTGCTGCCGGCGCTCATGGTCTTGCTCATTTCACCAGGATCACCACTCTTCACAGCTTCTTACACATGATGAGCCTGCTCCCACATCCGGGCTGTTTCAGGAGTTGCTCTCACTTCCTGCACAGCCCACTTTTCCCAGTTCTCCACACAATGTCCTCATTTGTTTCAATCAGCACAAGTGTCGTCTAAGACGGAGGAGGTTTCTGCCACTCCTGTCTTGATGTACTCCTCGTGCTACTCTAGAGTGTCTAGGGACACTCATCTGCCATGACAGTGGACAGACGTTGGCTTGCTGTCCATAACTTGCTTCCCACCACTGGCCAGAATGAAGAACTATCTCCTTCATTGACTACTGGGCCCCTAGTGCCTTGAACACAGCTAAGCGTGTAGTATGTACTTCATGAACATTTCAAGACCTAGCTACTCAAGGTCATCATGTCTATTAAATCCTTTGGTCCGGTTTTCCATCTCTACATTTGCAGATAGTTATCTCTCTTAAGGACTAAGGGGAAAGGAAGTCATTCACTTGGAAAGTCTTTATTTCAGCTTATTTTAGATAGAAAAAGAAAAGAGAGGAGGAAGAAAGGAAAGGAGTGGGAAGGAGGGAAAGGAAGAGAAGGAGAAAGGATAGAAAAAGAGGGTGAAGACAGAAGAAAGGAGAAAAGTTAGGAAGGAAGGAAAGAAGGAAGATATTCTCTGTGTTAGCACTGAAGAAAATCAGTGTATGCCACTGATTTTTCTCCCTTTCTATGTCCTTATTGCTGTCTTTTTCCCTCTCTTCCCCTTCCTTCCTTTCTTCATTTGTATTCTGATAAACTCAGTTAAACCCCATTGAAGGTGAAGGCCATCAATTTGCTATGACCAATACAGGGCATGCAACAGAGACAAAGACAGGTAGAAACAGAAGGACTATGTAGTCTTTCCATAGAAACCTAACATTCCTCAGTGATACCCTAGTAATTCATATAAAGTTTGGAAGCAGAAAGTGGAATTTTGTTTTTCACCAAAGCTACAGGTTCTAGAGAACATTCTACTTGGCTTTGCCCTTCCAACTCTCTCAGGGAGCAAACTGAAATGTATTCCAGTATTTATTATTCCAACAAATATTTATTTCACATCTGCTCTGAGCCGGACAATGCTAGTATTTGAAATAGACAGATGCAGACCCTCCCTCAAGAAATGCTGCACACTACAATGAGAAAGATAGAGAATCAACAGCAAACTGTAGGAATGTAACTCACCTGCTTTAGACTAGGGACATGTGAAAGCCACACAGGACAGAGGCAGGTTCCCATCACATATCTGGACAACATGATGAAGAGGTGAGAGAAATTTTGGAAGAGGAGATACTCGCCTGAGTAGGGAAAGCAGTTGACCAAGAAGGGAAGGAGTACTGGTGTTTCCAAAAGGAGGATCAGCATTTTGGAGGAAGTCTGTATTCACAAAGCACAAGCTGTGCCACCTTGCTCTAGAGTAGGGTAGGAGGCCAGCAGGCAGCAGATTAGAGCCATCATCAGGAACATCTGCAAAGAGCCATGGATGCCATAGTCAGATTTTTGAGCTTCCTTCTTTTACCCCACAAACATATATGTGTATGTGTGTGTTAGTGCATGTTAATTTTACAAAATACTGGGTTTTCTCATGGCGTCTTCATATATGCTCTTAAAATGCCTTGAGATTCCATTTGTGTTACAAAAAGTCACCAAAAAGTCAATTATATTATCTCAGCAAGTTGAGACTGAAGCCATTTAACATGCCCTTTGGGGCCCTCAGGCTTGGATTTGACCATCACACTGCTGTAGGAGATACACTCTCCTGCATGAGAGTCATGTGAGCACTAAGAGTAGGCTTCTCATCAAGCTGGAACTTCGTAATTCCTACTGAAAGGAAAGTTTATTCCAGTAAACAGAGACTAAAATCAGGAGATTCTAGCAGCTAGCTGGGAAAGCCCTTTACCACATCCATGTGTGGATGGGCTGACAGTCGGAGAGAAAGATAGTGGCAGCAAGCTGAGAGAGATCTTATCCTTGGGTGGATGGACAAACACCAGGAGAAAGAGATTAGCAATTAACTGCGAAAGGAATTAGGCTTCAGTAGCCTTGAAGAGGCTAAGGACTCTTTATGACTTGGATGCCCAAGGAAGGTCTGCTCAGGTGTGTACACAATCACTGGGCTTCTTGGTGCCGGGGGTTGAATATTTCCTTTTGTGTCCATCTACCCTATTTACTGAGAAACTGCTGCTGTTTGCTAAAAGCAGCCTGTTTGCTTTGTCCAGTTTGTTTGTGAAGGACTCACTTAAGTCTGACCTGACAACTATCACCCATGGGATGGTGGGAATCTATAAAAACTTGAAATTGATAGTGCCAGAAATCCCTCCAGGCCAGCTGCTTGACCCACCAGAAGCACAGGCGCGAGGTTTCAGAATTCTGATTTCCCAGGCCCACTGACATTGTTCAGAGGGTGGATTCTGATGCACTGCTGTAAGCAAACGACAATGGCCTTTTCATTAAGAAATGCCAAGAAAGTCAGGGTGGACGTGTATCATGGAAACTTTGGCTTCTGGGGCACTGAGCCCACAGGGTGTCTTTGCTCTGGAAATGGAGAGTCAGCACTTCTGTGAAGCTTTCTGGTTCACAGCTCAACTCCTGCCTCTGTATTTTGATTTCAGCATTTCATAATTTTCATTTCTCTCTCTTTGATTTGTCTGTGGATTGTATTTATGGGAGGTGCACCTCTCACTTACTTGGCAAGCGCTGATTTACTGGAGGGGTTTTAGAGGATGCTCATGTACGTCATCCACTGCAAACTTGGCCACAACACCCTCTCAAATAGCAACCCAAACAGTGTTCTTTTTTCTTTTCTTTTTCTTTTTCTTTTCTTTCTTTTTTTCTTTTCTTCTTCTTCTTTTTTTTTTTTTTTTTTTCTTTTCCTTCTTTTCGTTACTGGGGATCATCAGTGCTCTTTCTTAATCTGCCTATCCAAAGCTTGTAGAAATAGTCAACAGTTTTGATGGGAGATTGTCACTACAACTGTTACTATTTACTGACCTACATGGTATTATGAGAAAAGGACTCTTTTGAGATATGAACAGATGAAGCAAGATATGAGGGTCACTGTGTAAAAACACTGGTGACATAGGCAAGAGCTGATTCAAAGAAATGAGATGAAGCTCATCAGGAAGAGAAGTTTTCCAATGTTATTTTTCTCTCTTTCTTAAAGTCTTTACTGGAATGGCTTAACATGTGAATGTGTAGGCAACACCTTCCTCCTCTTCTACTTAGAGGACTCTCCCCACATTATTCGTAACTTGGTTCTCAAATGTATTTCACGGAACAAGTATACTTTAGGCTATAAGTAGAGATAGAGTTTAAAATACAATTACCTGGAAAGGTGACTTACTTCACATGCAAATGTAAGTTGTTACTGTCAAATTTCTAGCGAGTGGTTTTACACAGAAAGAAAAACAAAAAGAAAGTGAACTAAGAAGGAGAGTGCAAGAGATATAAAAATTGTGATTTTTAAAATTTTATTTATTCACTTTTTGCTTAGACTTATTTGCGAACCACCTCTCTGTGTACAAGGACTGCTAGAGTATCTGAGAAAGATGTGCCCCTGAGTTTTGTTGTACTTAAACCCCTAGGTCACGTATGTAATTGCTGTGCCTGGAAGCACTGTTTCTGGCTTCCACAGTGGATTTAAGGTAGCTTATAGCTGACTTCCCTTTCCTTCCCCAAATCAAATATATCACTTTGAGTGTGAGGTCCCTTCCCTCTCCTGGAGCCCATGTGTAGGTGATTATAAACTGCTACAAAGGCTCAGGTGTGAGCTCCAAGACATGAATTTCAGTTAAAGGATGAATCCATAGACTGTAGTTTCAGAGTAAGTATCACAAGTATTTTCTGTACAGAGCCAGATGGTAAATTTTTCAGACTTTGCAGGCCATGCAGTTTCTGTCACAATAACTCAACTGTGCGCAGAAACCTATAGCACAAAAGTAGCCACCAACCACAAGCATGGCTATGTTCCAGTAACAGTTTATGACGCTGAAATTTGAACTCCATTTGATTCTCATGAATCTTGAAGCAGCATTCTTCTGTGGGCTTTAAAAAAAAAAAAA